GAAGGAGGAGGAACAGAAAAGATTGGTTGTGAATATTCTATCACGGTGTCATTTTCGACCGGTGATGCTATGGTGCTATGATTTGGCGACTGACGAGTCTCCGGGAAATTGGCGCTAACACGTGCCGTTCTGCGGGTCGTCCGGGCGTACCTTATGACAAAACGACGAAGGGGACGACCGGTGGTTCCGTTTGAACGCACTGCAAGGTTGATATATTGAATTTTAAGGGGAAAACAATTAAGGACAATAGAGCAATTATAGGAACAAAACCGGACGCGAGTTCCTGAAAGTGAGTGGAGTGAAAAGAAAAGAGATAAAAGGAAAAAAAAAGAAAAGGAAAGAAAAGGGGCGACGTTCACTTACTATTTGATGAGATCAGAGCTGGGTTTAGTGAAGAGCCTTCAGGGGGGCCTGGTAGTCGGCGTATGTGTTGGAGACCTCGGGGCGTTGGATCACTGACTCTATTTTTATTAATAATGGAGTCACCCGAGACTCAGACTCGATTCGTTTTATTTAAGTGGGTAGCTTCGCGACTAACCCTGAGAATTATACTGCAAAGCTCTCGGTAAAGATTATAAAGGCCGCAAGACTAAAGAAGAGACTAAAAGGAGAGACTAAGAAAAAAGAGACGCTCAGGACCGCGGAACCGTGGTTTATATAGCGGTTTTTCCTAATTAGTGGGGTTCAAATTTGGGTGGTGGGATGACTTTCGGGATTTTGGATTGGTCGAGATTATATGGGGGAGGAAAGAAGTCGGTTGGTATAACCAAGTGTCATCTTAGTTTATGACTTTCTTAAATTTATGGGAAAATGCACGTGCACCGATTAAGACGAGCGCACGTGCACTGTCGGCACGCGCCCGTCAAACACTTTCCCTGGACTTCGCATGTCACATTTATATTTTATGGTCGCGGACATCGTGAGAATCGTCCGCGACTTGCCTGTCAGGAAAATGTTTAGGCGCCAGTACTGACATTAACTGCCGTTTTTAATGGCGCTGTCCAAGGGAAGTGTCATCGGCGGTGCATTAGCTCCCTGCGTTCACCGATTCCAACTCTATTTTATCTGGCATTAATGTAGATACTGTCTTTTTACTTTAAATTTTCTCATGGGAAAAGATTTTTATTACTTTTCTTAGAAGTCCTAGGGGTTGATAACCCCTAGGTCTCCGTGAGAAAAAGAAAAGAGGCAGCGTGAGTCCGCTGGACGTAACAATAATATTGATTTTCTGAAATTTACGCCTGTACGCTTAAGCCCTATACAGCGCGTGAGGCGTCGTCTATAATAGGGGAAAGTGGGAGAATTGTGCGCAGCAGGTAATTGTGCGCATCCTGGTTTGGTACTTTGCCGATAAATGGAGACATCGCCGTGATGAAATTTTTACGCAGGAGGTCGTCCTCTTAAGTTATAACCACAAAAGATATGACTTAAGTACATTGATAAACAGTGAAAGATAAAAAAGTAAAAACATACATTTTCTTGTTATTTCAGCGTTCAGAAAATAAGGTGGTAAGTCCGTATTTTTAATTTGTTAGTTTAAAGTTGCATACGTTATTAAAGTACGTTATTATGTGCGCCTTTCGACCCGTTATTTATTAAGTTTGGTTAACTAGTATTGAAGTAATCGTATTTCATATAGAGTCAGATCGTGGCGAGTAACTATGCGCAGGCGGTTTGAAATGCGCACAATTACCCATCTTCAATAGACTATATAGCTATTTTCCAGTATTAGAGGTTAATTTTTTATTTTTATTAAAGTTTATGTGCATTAGTAGCAGAGGTTAATTTTGTATTTTTGTTAAAGTCTATGTGCATTAATATTATTAGAGGTTAATTTTATATTTTTGCTAAATATATATAATATATGTAATATATATTTATATTACAATGTTATAAATGTATTTTATGATTTTTTCTTTGTCAACATTAC